TCTGTTAATAAATATATAGAATTTGTAGTTTTTCTCTCTATTAAACTAAATAACTAACCGAAATAGAAAGTTGTTTATTTTCTGAGACTATGTATGACGCCCGCTTAGTATGACGTGTTTGTCGTTTCCCTTCGATGTCATTATAAGCGGATTCTACTGTATTTCAAATAAACCACACATCTGACTAATTCTGCAACATAGTGTGTGTGTATGTATTAAGCTAGGATTTCACGGGGGGCAAACATTCAAGAAATTTTGTGCTGTTGATGCTCGTTCCCGATAATGTTTCACAAAAGTTCTTCTACGTTTTGGTAACAAAAGTCGAAGAATCTGAAACCTATTTGTGACCAGTTTCCACTGTCAACAGCAAACTTCGAAAGAAAATCGACAGCATAAAAAACCAAACTGCAAACTGCGATAGAAACAAGTGATGCAACTAACTGCAGGTGTATCTAAATCAGAATCGCCTGTTGCAAGAAATCGCAGAGTAATTTATGTTTGTTTCTTCTTACTTCAAAATTTTACTATTTATGTCACATTCACATTCCCGTTTAATGTTCACATGCAATGGAAACAATAACTTGTCCTTTCACGAACAAGAGACTACGTACTCACAATTTTAGTTGTCTAAATGGAAAGAAGAAATTTACGTATGCTGACCATAAGCTTCTACTGATTGCAACAAGAACAAACAGTAGACAATTTTGTTTCCTCAATGTTTCTCAGGTTGAAATCTAGCTTTAGACAACTTCCACTTGCATATCATTACCGATATCGATTTTTCAAATAGTAGGAAGAGACTATTCTCAATAAAGAGGGTGCGTATCTTAACATATCAAAAGGCAGTTCAACTTCATGTTTTTGTGCAAATGAATTAATGTTAATTAATATTTTACAACAATATTTGAACAAGAAGTATATTTTTCTGATTCAAAACTGTTTTACTTATAATCATCGTAACGAACATTCCACATCCATAACTATTTGTGAACAGTAATATAATCTATAGGACTATCTCTACTCCTCGTAACTCCTGTTTCTGTTTCTATATGACTCTGACTGAGCCTTCATGCATGAGAAGGTGTCTTACTAACCTATTTCGCCTATCTATATATATAAAAGAAAGTCGTGTTAGTTACTTCACTTATAACTCAAGAACGGCTGAACCGATTTGGCTGAAAATTGATGGGGAGGTATCTCACAACCGGGAGAAGGACATAGGATACCACGAGAAAAATGTGGTATATGTAAACGCAACTGACATGGAATGACAAAACGAAATTGACAGCAAAACAAAAAATTTATCAGTCAAAACATCAGTCTAGCCTTTCATTTGTTAAGATTGCATGTTTGTTTTTGGTTCGATTTACTTGAAATTGATTAAAAAATTCAATCTCTGTTGGGGGGGATGAGTGGTGAAGAGGAGTTGCAATGTTTAAATGGAACATATATTATTTGTGATCAGATTTACTTGAAACTTTGTTTTAATGGTCTCTCATTTAATTTCTGAAAGATCTATCTCGACAATTTAAAAAAGGGAAAGGTGTTGCAATTTTTGTTTGGGACATACTTTATTTATGGTTGAATTTACTTGAAACTTGGTATATATGCTGTTTGATATTATTAATCAAATGAAAAGAGGTTGCAACGTTTCCATGGGCTACATTTTATTTGTACTCGGATTTACTCGAAGGATGCTCATTGCTGAAATTAAGCAAATACGTGTTTTGGCAATTTTTAAAAATCAACCCTTAAGGATGAAATATTGTTGCTACGTTTGTATTTGAAAGATGGCGACATTACACAAAATTAAAACGTTGTAAGGGTGAATTGGGAGCTAAAAGGTTTTATGGTGAAAGAATATTAATTTCTGGGAGCGAAGCCGCGGGGAAAAGCTAGTATCTTATTAATTTCCATAAGAGTCCTCTGTTATCGTGTTCTTTCTAATACCTCTTTATTTCTAACGTTCTCTATTCACGGTATTCTCATCATTTGCCTGTAACACCACATTTCGATAGCTTCTAACCTTTTCTTTTCCGAATTTTTTTGAATTTCTAACTTAATCATTCGCGAGCATACACGTAACTTCATTTTGTTGAAGACAATTCGACCCGGCGCTATTCTATTTTATATCTCTACTGCTCCTTCCATCCTGACATATCAGACTTCCTAGATATCCAAAATCAGCCACTTCTTCTAATACTATTTTACTTATAGGTATAAAAAGTCCATTTGATTCGAAATTTTCCAACAATGTCTATGACATCATCCCTCTTGCTCCTCCTCGTAAGGTTCGCTACCGATTTTGAGAGACACGTCCGAGTTTGTTTTTATACTTATGGTTAATATTTTAAGTCACGAGTCCCATACAAAAGGCACGCCATTCCGTATGGACCCGTAACACATTTTTTTAAAGTACATACATAACGCAGAATATAGTCGGTCAGTCGTTAATGTGGGAACCACCGCTTGGCGTCGGACTTGTCAGAATTGAAAGGTGTCTAAACAAAGTATTGATCATATACGGTCAACAAATATTGACCGACCAAATAAAGTCTAGTGGTGCTACTCATTCGGCCACGGTTAATTGTGTTACAAACGCTAATTGGAAATTGTAATCAGTTTGACTGAGTAGTTGGCTGAAGTGTGTAGTTCTGTAGTGGTGGATAAAATAACCTGGTGATGCATGCTGGTGCTAGATTATTGGGTAGCCGAAGTATTGTGATGGGAAACAAAACGACTGATGACTTAAAAGACACAGAAGCACATTCCTCAATAATTTACTCTTCTTCTTTTCGTTTTAAATAAGTATTAGGTTTTTAATATTGTCACATTTACGAAATGGATCGAAACGAAGAGTAGTGATAAGAAAAATTGGTTTTGGTCTTGCAATCTTGGTCTTAGTCTGGCGAAAACGTAAGACAAAGGCCAAAACTAAGACTGTATTTATATTAGTAAGATCAAGACAGAACGAACAAGACCAAGACTAAAATCAAGACCAAATATGCAAGACCAGAGTCCTCAGAGTAAGAGTTCTTTGTACCTGTGTCTAGATAACACATGGTCGAAATATTGAGACAATCTAATTTTTTAGCAAAACCGTTTGTTTCGATTTTTAAAGAAAGGTTTCTTTGTAAAGCAGAAAATGGAGACTGTGAAAAGACACCTTATAAAAAATACCACAAATGGCGCGGTAAACGCCATCTGTAGTACGATGCTACATTTTAGGATTACGTATGCTCCAACAAGGTCCATTTAAATATATGGGTATCTACTTGCTGAAACGAATGCCGGCGTAGCTCACCTCAACGTGATAGGCACGTTACCATAATCGAATAAAATAATTCGAAGTGGTCTGTATCCTAAAATGTAGCATCGTACTACAGATGGCGTTTACCGCGCCATTTGTGGTATTTTCTAAAACGCACTGTTAAGACAGCAGGTAAAAGTTGGTCTGTGTTCTGTCGGAGCTGATGAGATCCAAAAAGATCGAAATCGCGATCCGCGTCTGGCAGTTTCGACAGAATACAGACCACTTCGAATTATTTTACACACCTTATAGTTACCACAAAACATGCTCACTTTGGACACGTGTTTCGTGAGCATTAATAAAACCAATCTCATCTTGATAATGCTCACATTAGAAGTGGTGCCCACAGTGAAGAGATTTTGTGAAAAGTAGGGTGTCTCTTTTTGGCTAAGTTAAAGGTTTCATTGTAACCAAATGTTAAAAATTCTCTTATGAAAGACACTGATATAGATCTAGTAAGAAATACATAAAATTGGTCAATTGGTAACAACAGGCAATACGTCACAAAGTTAAGTTGGTGTTAATTTCGTCCTAATCTAGAGGCACGTATACATAGGGTATTTTTATTGCACTATGTAAATTTTGTCCTTATACCTAGGCTTCAGCGTGCAGAAGTGCTTTATCGTGCAACCGATTTTTTCTGTATATGGTACATTTGAAAGCAATAATATTGAATGATAGTTATAGATTTCAAAGCACAAACCTTAATATCAAACAGTTAAAACAAACTTTTAGGATGTGTGTACAGCATGATTGCAAATCGTGGACTTAACTTCACACGAACGCAAAAGGACATTAAATCAGGAAGAATTTACGTTTTCCGACAAATTTCTATCTATTATTAAGTTGCAAGTTCACAGAGAACTCAAAGCGTTACAGTATACTTCGTTTACTTTCTGTAGCGATGTGACCTTCAGTTTGACCAGCGCAAAGTAGAAAAGAACAGCACTAGGCCAGAAAAGGAAGGAGACAACTCTCGGCCAAACTCTCAACCGGTGAGGAGCGTATAATCCGTACAGTACTACACGGAAAAATTGACCATTTTATCCACTACAATTGCATTGCTCAAATGTGCTGTTATTGGTACCATTTACTACTGAAAATATCAACGAGATGTTTATTTATATTTGAAGAGATATTAAAGGCTTTAACGCTTGTTTTTGACTCGCACTACTATTCATGATTGAACAAAACTTTTGGCAGGTACTGTATGAAAAAGTATGTTTAATGAACAAGAGTCGAGAGTATAATGAGCTTTTTTTCTCCCTACCTACGATTTTGCCAGCGCGCATCCAAGACATTGGAAGGGGCACATCGCTAGAGAAAGTAAATGAAGTATAACTCATTGCCTGTATAATAGGTTAAATATGTAGATTTTAAATTTGTTTTGTTATTACTGTAGTTGCGATTTGAGATACTGAACCAGAAAATGGGTTATTCTAAAAACAAAACAGTAAATGAACAATTACGGTTACTCTTATTACAAGCAAGATTGCAATGACTGATACTACAAAAGAAATTCAAGACAAATTAGCTCATTTCTCGGTATCACCTTTAATTTCATGTCAAGCGTCAAATCAGGATTCAAATGGACTTTAAAGTAGGTAAATGTTATTTTCTATTTCCGTGTGGGCAAACGGTATTGATGAAAGATAATTCGACTGCATTAATTTTCAATTAGTTTTCTTACCTGATATCAAAGATGTTACACATTCCCTCTGGCCGGGGCCTCTCTTCCTGGTAGAGAAAGTGTTATCAAAGAGATTGACCCACATGTAAAACATGTAACCGTTGACCGATTTTTCGGTCGCCAGGGTAATATCTGGAAAGAAAAGACATATCTAAAAATATCTTTTTTACAAATAATGGATTCACTTTATTTTATTTATTAAATAATAAATATTATCATTAGAAGTTGACAAAACATGTAACTCCAGTGGTAACTAAATATGGTCTCCGATTACTATTATGATTGATTAATAAGATAAAATGTATTCATTCTAACAAAATACCTTTATTAGGCCTATATTATGCCTACGCAATTATACACTAACCTAAATTTGAAAATTAAAAAAGACTGTTCGAGTTCGAAATATGGTGTTACATGCAAATGATGAGGATACCGTGGATAGAGAAGCTTAGAAATGAAGAGATATTAGAAAGAGTAAGAGAACAGAGAACTCTATGGAAGTAAATAAATAGCTCAGAATAGGAGTGGAGTGAAGGTGCGTGTCCAACTAGTCTTAGGACTGACGACCTTATGATGATAACAAAGAACAGACCCGAAGATTGAAGTAAAATATTCAAGTCAAAAGTACACCAGTTGAAACATGCCCACATTGTTAAGGGATTTTACCAAGTTTTTTAATTATCAATTCTACATTAAAGAAAATATTGCTTTAATTAGGAATCATGTAATATTAGATATAATTAAGAAGCCAACGTATTAATTGACTTTGAAACCACCCATTTATTCTATCTACTGCACCCTCTGCAGCTAGAAAGATTGATTGGAAAAGAAATCTAGATTCAATCAGGATAATGTATGAACGGAAGTGTATACGAAAATGCGAGTAAATAAAAGAAAATGGACTACAAATAGTAAAAAAACGACGCCCTAGTTTTATTTGAATAAGAAGAAGTAAAATAACCAATTACTTGAAAAGTGAATGAAAAATTCAAACGCGTGGAATATTTAAACGAGTGCCAAACAACCTCGTCTTCCTTATGTCCATCTTCAAGTTAGATAATAAACATTTAAGTAAATATCACTAGAGACTGTTGCCGGATTGTTTCCGGCTTTAAACGCAATAATTTTCGAATAATAATGACTTCGAGCAAAGGTTCATTCTTTTAGGATAAATGATGAGCCCGGCGTGTTCTTGAAATTGGTAAATATTTACAAGGAAAATAAGCATAATTCACTCGCTTGTTTATACAAAATCTCTTCAACGAGATCTTTCATTACACAATGTATTTGCCTACGTACCAGGGAAGATTGAAAAGTTCACGCAATATATCGAAAAGTGGCGCCATTAGTCATCGATTAAACAACGAAGTGCAGAAAAAGTTCTCCAAATTTAGTAAAGGTTAACTTATTGCCATTTTCTTTTTGGTAAACCGTAAATATGCACCGGATAGTGATTTTGCAAGGTTCAAGATAACCGTACCGTTAATGCCGGATAACCGGCAAAACCTCTACGGTTAATGGTTCATGTCTTCGTTCGAAAGGGCTTTCCATTAAATGCCACCTTCACCGATGTTCCAGGATTTGTCACCTATACTTTTTGGCTGATTCATCTCGAAAGATAATCTGTTTTTTTATAAATTTTGATTTCTGAAGATCATGGTGAAATGGGGCGCCAACGTCGAGCTTTGCCCTAGACCAGGGGTCGGCAATAAACTTTGAAAGACGTAATACAAATATTGTTTCATGAATTTTTTTAACTATCTGCACTGGGCAGTGGCGACAGTGGACAACCGAGCGGAATGGTCTAGAGGTTTAGACCATTGCTTAGCATTCGGGAGGACGCCGGTTCGATTCCGGGTTCCTCTACCTTGGTCCAGGTTTTTCTGTGGTTTCCTCGAATCGCTTAGACAAATGCTGGGGCAGTAATATTCCACAGATAATCTTTCATTCTCTTCTGTATTTATTTCGTCCGTCTTATGTTTCTCACCCGAACCACCGCCCACCCATTCCCACGATTCCTACTGAAGAGGGCCTTCCGCCCTATGTTTAAGTTTTTTTGACAGTGGACATTTTGTCTTTCCTGGTAGTAGGGTGTGGTGAGATGTAAATCCCTTGTTTTAGGTAAACGCGTGCGCTTTGTGTCTGTCCTTTCCGCTTTAACTTTTAATTTTTTTAGGGGAACTTGAAGAGCCCCAATTTTCTCTTGAAAAAACAGCATTAGGTTTGCCGACCCCCTGTTCTAATCCAAGTTTTTTCTGGAAAAAGGAATAAAGGAACACTAAAGTTGGACTACGGTTCGTTTGTAAGTAATTAAGGATATGTTGGGATGCTTTAGATGTTCAGTATCCAACTAATCTTCGGACTTATGACCCTACGACGGTGACGCATGTACTGAAATGACTCACACAGGTTTCAAAGCATTTATTGACGATTTATTACCGTATATTAATTTTCTAATATGTACGAAGTGCACAGGGTACCACTTTATTTTTCGAGCTCAGTATAAACCAAAAATAAACTTTAATGAATCAGATTTTTTTAAGGAAATTTCAATATTTAATAGCTTCCAAAAAAAGAGGGACGATGTTTCGTCATTTTTGTACGAATTAACTTTTTGAATAGTTCTCGTATAATATGTTGTCAGTAATATAAAGGGGCCGTTATTTGATACATAAATTCGGTCAATTTGTATTAAAATTAGGGTCGTGTATTTACGAAAAATACAACTATTTTAATGGCAACTATCGAAGGAAGAACTTCTGATTAACATATTAAAATGCTCTTTTATTTTAATGGCCACATTACTGACGCTGTAATATTCCCTTCATATATCAATTGTTGACAGGATTTCACAGTTCTTTGATCAGAAAGAATTCACTTGAGACCGACCACAGAAGCAAACGTCCGTGATATAAGAACAAACAGATTTTGGAATATTCCTTAATTAGAAAAAGGTATGAAAGCGAATCTATTTGAAATTATATTTCTTTTATTAATTGTTAGGTAACAGGCGGGCTGAAAAGTTCGTAGGCTAGCATAGAAAAAAATTTTTTTTTGATAGAATTTGAATTTTTATTCGATATAATTCCCTTCGAGGGCGATACAACGATTATAGCGGTCATACAATTTTTCGATACAATTTTTATGATAGTTGTCTTTCGCGTCAAAATGGGCTTCAATTTCGGCAATTACAGTCCATTTCAATTTGTTACAATTGTGACCTTGAATAAATCTGCGCGAAGATAGAAAGAAAACACACTACGCGTGAGCAAGGCAGAAATAGTTGGAACAAGGTTAAACGAGCAGAGCTCTCGATGGGCGGTCTTAGGAGATCGGCTAGAACTGTACAGTACTAGACGTAAATGTTTGGCAATTTCTTGAAACAAAAATGTATATAAATTAACAATAGAAAACAAAGCAAAAGTTTTATAGGTGTGTAGAACGTTAAGTTAATTCACTTGTTATTATTTTTGGCTAAATATGCTTTTAAATAAAGCATATTCTTAAATTTTAACGAGGCAGTTTAAATAATTTTGCAAATGGTACTGTACACTTTTGTCTAGTTCTTGCTCGATAATCGGTGTAGAAATGAGCTCCGGAGACAAATATAATTGAATTTGGAAATATGCTACGGCGCATCCTAATAAAGGGAAGGGGCATATCTCTAACTTCTTGAAACGAACAGTACCTCTTCATCTGCGCGAAATTTCTGTCGAGGTCTGAGAACAGGAAAAAGTCGCTGGGGGCCAGATCTGGAGAGTACAGTGGATGCGGAAGCAATTCGAAGTCCAATTCATGGAATTTTGCCATCGATTTCATTGATTTGTGACACGGTGTATTGTGTTAATGAAACAGCACTTTGTTTTTCAAACAACAAAAGTTCTTTCACTGAAAATGCTATAACTCAGATACTAATAGAGCAACAGCTGTCAAATTTATACACATATCTTTTAAAGGTTAGGGCTAACTAAAAATCATATGGATTTGATACTAGTAGAGACATACATACGAACTTTTCAGCCAGCCCTTGTATAAGGTATTAGAAATCATTTATTACTTTAATATTTTATTTAATGTACTATTGGTCTATTTGAACCTGTTGTTTTTTTCGTAAACGGACAAGCCATCGGTTGTTTAAATGAAAAACAAAACAAAACTCCTTTTTGATTAAAAATTATGACATACTATAGCATATTGCAATTTTTAAATTAATAAGAGAAGGTCGTGCCTACTACAGCAAATGCTCAAACTAATTAAAAGAACCTATTAATAATTTTTCTTGTGAAACACATTATAACATATTAAGCACCGCCTTAAAGTTTTTGATTATCTAACCGAGTAGTACAGTGGGTATATGTATATGTATGCATATTTTAACACATTTTGGATAAATTTAGGTAAAAGCATATTAGAATGCATATTAGCTTCACCTATGTGCGTGCCCATTTGTCTTAAAGAATGCCAAAAGGCAGAAAGGCTATTTACATAAACGAGCATCTGCGTAACAAATTATCGTTTTTTAGTTAATTGATGGGGTAGGAATATGAACAGGCGCCATTTCTAAATTATTTGGTAATTATATGTATTATAAAATTTTTTTAACTAGCACAGATAATTTAATCAAATTAAGACAAATACCAAGAAATTAGAAAGTGTGCAAGTGAAAAACATTTTTAACAGAACCACATGTACGACTAATTAATATAGATAGTATTTAGCTATAGTTGGAACCCTAGACTAGGAACCATCAAACTTAACCCCAATAATTTAAAATAATTTTTTTAGAAGTGAGTTAGTTTAATATGAAATATTATTCTGAAAATTCATTTTTGAATTTTTTACCCATTACACGCTACCTCAAATTAATGAGGGAAAAATTGTTGCTGTAACAGCGTGTAGTGGGTAAAAAATCCAGAAATGAATTTTCAGAATAATATTTCATATTAACTAACTCACTTCTAAAAAAAAGATGTCTAAATTGTATGTATGTTTAATCATAGTATATTCAGTATATAGTTACATTAGTTCGACGGATCGTTAACCTTATACGTTGGTTGCTCGTGGTTGCTGTTGTCACATCTCGTAGTTTAGTGGTCAGAACATTGGTGCGTAAAGCCAAAGGTCCCGGGTTC